GGCGGATGTCGTGCTCCGCACAGAAGGCTGCCAAGAGGTCTGAGGTGAACTCACCACCTCTGTCGGAGTGCAGACGCAGGACAGGAAAGTCCCGCTGGAACCGCTCGCGGAGCTGGAGACGAGCAGCGCGGATCCAAGGGATCAAAACAGCAGGAACGTCCCCCTTGCTCTACAAGGGGAAGACCGTGGTGTAGCGCGTGTAGTCGTCGACAACCAGCAGGAAGTACCGCTCGTGGCCCAGTCCACGGACGCGGGCTGGGCCCCACACGTCCAGGTGGAGAGTCTGCAGGGGAGCCTCTGTGGGAGGGAACGAGGAGGAGTGAGGAGCGGCGCGCTGCCGCCCCTCGACGCAAGGAATGCAGGGCGGCGCAGGCGAGGGAGGGAGAGCAGGCAGAGACCTGGGAAGACCAGAAACCAGGGAACGAGAGTGCATGCCACGAAGGCGAGGCAGGGAGGGGTGACCAAGGCGGTGGTGCCACAGGAGAGTGTCGTGCGACAAAGCGCGACACTCGCAGGGGGCTGCCAGCTGACCAGACGTAGACGCAGACGCAGCTACCTGAGGGGACTCAGTGGTCAGTGTGTACAGACTCGAGCCAGGTGCACGGGTGAACGTGGCCAAGTGTCGGCCCGTCCGAGCACACGTACAGTGAGTCACTCGCTGACTCGCAGGAGTGAACTGGTCAACCCCCCCATCCTGGAGGTCAGCTCCACTCACCAAGTTCGTAGAGAACGAGGGGAGGTAAAGACCTGACAGGAAGCCAGACGGGACGGCCGGACACGGCAGAACCGTGGAGTAGTGGGCAAGGACTGGACCCCCAGAGGGGTCCGCCAGGGAGACCGGAACTGGCCGACTGAGCGGCATGAGTGTGGTGCAGTCGCGAAAGAAAGAGCGGGAAGCTCCTGAGTCAAGGGTGAAGGTGTGCAAGACCGCAGCAGGCGCAGTACCAGAGAGAGCAAACTCACCAGCACCTAGAGCAGGAGATGCACTAGCACCTAGAGCAGCAGCCGCACCAGCACCTAGAGCAGGAGACGCACGAGCACCTAGAGCAGCAGCCTCACCAGTACCGAGAGCAGCAGGCTCTATACCAGGGTCAGGCGGTACGCACAGGTAACAGGCACGGTCAACACTAGTAGACAATGCATACATGGCAGTGAGAATAGCATCATAGTCAAGAGCAAAGATATCTACCCTCTGTCCAAGCAGCTCCAGCCAGGCGGGGAGCTCAGCCTCGTCGCCAAACTCGGTACGCCAGGCGTCGCTCAGACGGGCGAAGCAGCGGGACTGTGTGTGACCAAGCGTCCCGCAAGGCTGACCAGTCCGATCACCTGTGCGAATGACGTACGGGCAACGAACTGTACGCGTAGACCTGCTACTCTGAACGTACCACTCCTGGAGCTGCCGGGACGTAAGTGTCTCGCGTGGGCGCCGCTGCAGCTGCAGCTGGCCACTGCCAGACGCCCCCAACTGACCAGCTCCAGGGCGACAGCTACGACGGCTACCGCGACAACCCCAACTAGTATACCACTCACTAAGCTGCTGGGGCGTGAGAGACTCGCGTGAACGTCGCTGGAGCTGCATCTGGCCACGTGCCAGTAGCAGTAGTAGCAGCAGTAGCGCGGGCAGGCAGGCAGGTAGGCCGGCAGGCAGGCAGGCAGGCTGACAGGCAGGCAGGCAGGCAGGCAGGCAGACAGGCCGGCAGGCAGACAGACAGACAGGCCGGCAGGCAGGCAGGCAGACAGGCCGGCAGGCAGACAGGCAGGCAGGCAAGCAGGCAGGCAGGCAGGCCGGCAGGCAAGCAGGCAGGCAGGCAGACAGGCAGGCAGGCAGGCAGGCAGGCAGACAGGCAGGCAGGCAGGTAGGCAGGCAGGCAGGCAGGCAGGCAGACAGGCAGGCCTGCAGGCAGGCAGGCAGGCGCTCACCAAAGGCTGGAAGAGCAGGCGCTCGCCGGGCGAGCAGGGTCGGCGCTCGACGGGCGGCGGCCGAGTAGGCGCACGACAGCGGCGACGTCGGGGCCGCAACACCGGCTGCAGAGTAGGGCCGCGGCAGCTGCAGGGCGGGACCGCTTCAGCGGCAGTCGCAGGGTGGGGCCGCGTCAGCGGCAGGTCGGGGTCGCGGCAGCTGTAGGGCGGGGCCGCATCAGCGGCAGGTCGGGGCCGTGGCAGCTGCAGGGCGGGGCCGCATCAGCGGCAGGTCGGGGCCGAGGCAGAGGGCCGCGCGCGGCTCGGCGCGGGCTGCGCTGACAGCGCGTTGGGCTGCTACAGGCCGCGCGCGGGCCGCGCGAGGCAGTAGCAGGCCGCGCGCGGCTCGGCGCGGGCTGCTGCGGGCCGCGCGCGGGCTGCTGCGGGCCGCGCGCGGGCCTCGCGAGGCCGTAGCAGGCCGCGCGCGGCTCGACGCGGGCTGCGTGGGCTCGGCGCGGGCTGCGCGCGGCTCGGTGCGGGCTGCGCGCGGCTCGGTGCGGGCTGCGCGCGGCTGCAGCGGGCTGCGCGCGGCTCGGTGCGGGCTGCGCGCGGCTGCAGCGGGCTGCGCGCGGCTCGGCGCGGGCTGCGCGGGCTCGGTGCGGGCAGCGCGCGGCAGCAGCGGGCTGCGCGCGGCTCGGCGCGGGCTGCGCGGGCTCGGTGCGGGCAGCGCTCGGCAGCAGGGGGCCTAACGGGTCTGCAAGGGCTGTTCGCGGGCCTCTAGGGCGTGTAGGGGCGGCGCGCGGGCCTAGAGTAGCAGGAGGCAGCGCTAGGGCTGCAGGACGGCGCGCGCAGCGCAGCACGTCACAAGGCAAGGCAAGGCAAGCAGTTACGTGGGGTAGCGCGGTAACCGCAGCGGTAGGTGGGCCCGAAAAAAAAAAAAACGGTCCTACGGACCTTAGTGCTCTGAAACCATGTTAGAATCTAGCAGCAGGAATGAATGAACTAGCAGGAAGATGGGTACAAGTAGGAAACCCTAATTTGGGTTGTACCCCATATGGGCTACCCCACTACAGCCTACACAATAATCAGCATATATGTTTGACACAGTCCGCCTCCTCTGGCGCTGACGCGACGGTCCAGCAGCGGGTGCTGGCGTGTGCTCGGCGTCAGTCGCGTGTGCCGCGCCAGCCCCCGTCGCCACTTGCGCCACAGGTGCCACAGGCGCCACTGGCGCCACAGGGACCGAAGGGTGCTGCTGGGTTTCGGCGTTTTTGTTGACCTCGAGCCCGCCCAGCAGCACGTCCACTGCAGTCGGGGCGGACGGTCCGTCTTCTGCCCGACGCTTGTTACGGCGTTCGCCCGCAGAATCGCGGGCGTTACGGTCGGAGTCGGAAGCGGGGGTTGACGAGTTCCCGTTGTGCCATCGTTGAGCGATTGAAGTTGAAAATGTCGCTGAGTAAAGTAGAGGGTGACTCGCCTCTAGGAAGCGATTTAATCCTAGCCAGCTTGGAGGGAAAAACTACTCGAGTGAGAATGTTAAGGGAGCCGTTTGAAAATTGAGAAACGTGGGTGGAGGGAAATGAGCTCCAACCCACGGTTTTTGTAGTTGGAGAAGGGCGTTTAGCGCGCTTCGACGATGCCAATTGTGCAGTACAAGCAGCTCCGCTTTCACAATACACAACTTAAAAAAACACTACATGTGTGTTTAAAATTTATAATTTTTGTCAAGTATGTGTGTTGTAACCAGGTGAAGGTGCGACGTAATACTGTACGTAGGCCTTTCTTGTGAATGCCTTGTACGGTGTTGGTGGTGCGGTGCTATATAATACTTTCTTGAATCCAAACTGATTAAAACTCCAGTATACATTTGTCAGCAGGGTTTCGGGTTTTGATAATGTGCCTCACAGCTTTGGGGCAACTTTTCAAGTTCCTAAGGATTTTGAACTCCTCCCTTCAAATGTATACCGGAGCTTTAAGAGTTGTGAAGATTGTTTTTGTTTCTGAAGCTTGAGAGGGCTGTTTCTCTACCGCTTTCTCACTTCGCGGATCACGCTCATTTGAGACGAGAACATCGCCCTTCTTCAGTTTAGTGACCTCGGGTTCCACGCGTCGTCAGTCGCGCTCACAGTTCCACTACCCCGTCCCAGGCGGCTGTAGTTTCTTTCGCCTAAACCGTCAAGCGACCTCTGATCTGAGTTTATTTTTCCGTCATGTTTTTCTTTATCCTCAGCTCCCTCCCTGAGTCGAAGCTCATCCAGTCAGCTGCGGCAATCTGCCCAAGATGCCGGTCTCCTGCGGATTTAGTGGAGATGCAGCATGTCACGCGGGTTTTCTTCATCCCCGTGTGGAGAGGGAAATCGTCGGGACCATACGTGTCGTGTCCTGACTGCTGGTTCCGCATGCCCATGGAGGACTATTCACGCATGCAAGAAAACGAAGCAGCAAGACGGCAGCAGTACCAGCCACCGTCTCCGCCGCTTCCGCCTGCGGCGCAGATCCCACAGCACGTTCCCGGGACCTTTCCATGCTGGTCCTGTCGTGCTCCCCTGCAGTCCGGTTACAGGTTTTGCCCATTCTGTGGCTCTCCTTGCTCCGGGTAATGTTTTCCACATTGGTTTGGTTTGGAAGGTCGCTATGGGAGCACGGCAAGCAGCGGCGTGGGAAAGGCATCTCCCTCCCTTAGGGTTCCTGCTTCCATTTCCTCTATGCTCATTGGTACGAAGGGGGCACGATATCTGTTTTAGCCATTGGTAGGCTGTAAGACTTCCTAGGCCATCTACGCTTTACTTAGGTGTCAATTTTCACTGAAAATCATACCATAGACTAGGTTGTACATCTGTACATAAATAAATTTCGAAATAAGGCTTCAGATTTGTAACGAAGCCATGCATGAGCAGAGAAAAAATGCCAGATAAGTAGAGTCCGCATGAAACAAGTCAAGGGAAAAAAAACGTTCTGATATAGTATAAAATACAAGCACAACGACAACCAGACTAACTAATAAGCCATCGCAACCTAAATACGTGCAGGTTTCCTGCCAAAATGTACACGCGAGCAAGCCTGTGGTCTCACAGGGGCTTGCATCTTGATAGCACCAGGCCTTACTCCGATTCTGCGTCACCTGCAGAACATGCACCGATGCGGAATGACAGTGCGGAATGACAACCCCTAAGTTATAAAGAAGAAGCTTTGAACTGCTGCTGAGCGGATGAATGAACAAAAGTGAAGAGGCCAGGAAACAGGACGGATGGATGACTAGGCGAAACAGGCATCAATTCTCGGCACAGCATCTGTTCCTGGGGGCCTGAACATCGGAATACCCTGAGTCTGTCCCGATGCCGGCACGAAGTAGTCGTTCAACGTTTGGTTTGACAGGTCACTCGGCTCCTGACCAATAGCACCCTCGACTTGGTCATCGTCGAAGCCAATGCCTGTGTGTGGACCGGCAGGTTGAGTCTCAGCACCCTCGGGCTCTCCAATAGCTTCTTCAAAATCAGTGGCATCTACAGCCTCAGGAAACGGTGTCCCAATGGCATCCCGGGTTCCAAACCCTCCCGCGCGGTCCAGGTCGTCTTGGTAGATTGGAGCGGACATGTCAACCTCTCCGAAACTGTTCCCCACTTCTCCGGGCTTCACTAGCTTAAACTGTGAAGGTTCGCTGCTCATGACTGGCTTGTGCAGGGCAAGATGATAGAGCTGTTGCACAAAACAAAAGCCACAAAGTACGGACGATTCTAGTATTCGGTAGTACACCAGCTGACTAGGTTGATGAGTGGCTGTTGTGTCTGGCTGCGGACTTGTGAGAGACTAGGGTGGCTGGTTGGATGATGTTGAGGGGAAGGGGGACTGGAAGGAATAGCGGATGTTCTGCACGGGCGTGGGTGTCGCCAACTAGAATGCGACAGATTTGCGAACAATGTCGAGAACAAGACAGCCCTGCACAGAATCGCCAATTGGGGAGGGAATCTCGTCGCAGGTAGCGCGTCAGCGAGGACCTTGTAGCATCATTGTCATCAGAATACCGTTCACACGTCACATGCCGGTCAGCAAGGAATCATAAGTGCGAGCGTGGCAAGGCAAATATTCCAATGACTCCAACTCCAACCAAAGCAAGAACTGACCACGTGTATGTGACGCACTCCAGTGCGACAACGCCAGCATGGAGCTCACCACCAGTCACATGCAAGCATCAATATAGAGAGCCTTATTACTGAACTCGGAATGGAAGGACTTGGCTTTCCCCAGTATGTACACCCTTTCTAGTCAGGGCAACTAGGGTACCATTCAAACTGCTACCTTTGCTTCGTGCCACATCACCCATGCGTATTTACCAGCACTTTGCGAGCCACCAAAAATGTAAACTTACAAGTGCGCTTAGGCCGAGATTTAGGTGTTTTCTGCGAATCTGGTCAAGTGCCTGATAAGGTGCATAGGAACAGGCTATTACAGTTCATAGGAGGAAAGCCACTGTACATATCTTACAAGCTGTTACAAGTGCTACCGAGCAGGCGAGTGTGGATCTCACTATAGGGGAATACATCACAAAACAACTAAAGATATCAATGGTAAATGTTGCTGCTGGCGTTCAGGTTTGAAGGAACAGAGGACTAGGATCGGTGGCTTGTTACCAACTGAATCACCAGTGCGCAGTTGCTACCAGCCGAGGTATATGGTGTGTGGATCACATGCCATGGTGCGATTGGTAATGGAGGGACAAAAGGTGAATCTGGCGAAGCATGAAAGGCAGGGCTCAATCACAGGTGCTGCACGACAAAGGAAAGGGGGGAGAGAGGCGAGAAGGGAGAGTCATGTTGGTGGTGCGGTGCCTGAGTGTTGACATTCAGGCATCAAAGAGCAGGCATGCATGGAGGGCGAAAGAGGGAATGTGGTGAAGGAGAATGAGAGAGTAGGGGCAGGAGGATGAGAGGAGAAAGCAGGGGGATGTAGGAAGAGAGGAGAAAGCAGAGGGAGCGGAGAGGAAGGACGTGAGGGGAGAAAAAAGAGCAAGAGCCACTTGAGGGGAACGTGGAAGGGAGCATGGGGGAGAAATTGAGTGCGGACAGCAAGCAAGCAGACATGCTGCTGACTGTGCACTTTCCATTCGCTCGAGCTCTTGTACTCCCCCACTCGCTCCTTCCCCGTTCTTCCTCACACCGTCATGCACATACACTCTCTCACCTGGCTGTGCATTTGCTCCAAGACCGCTGTCCATACTTCTCACAATGCTCTCCTCTCCCTCGCCCTCCCACACCACCTCACCTGCCGGTGCATCGGCTTCCCATCCCCCCCCCACTCCCATTATCCCACCTGGCCTGCCCCCAACGCTCCCACTGTTCACAGCACTCCCCCTCCAACTCCCCACCCACTCCACCCCAGTTACCCACCCAGCCCTTTCCCTCACCTGGATGTGCAACTGCTTAACTCCTGCCACCCGCTCGCGGGCGCGAGCAACCCAGCCGGCTTGGCGGTCCCATTACAGTACATCACTGTCGACGGAAAGTCTGGGGAGGTTGGGCCTGGAACCATCTGCAGGAACACAGTGTCATAGGTGCCTTGGCAGCCCGTGTTGCCCGTGAAGGACGACGCGCAGAAGCGGACAGACGTCTCGCTGTATCGTCCGAGGTTTGCGAACACGGCGCCGCCAAAGCCGCAGGTGCTGATACTGGGAACGCCGATAGCCTTGTTGTCCCTGAAGATGGCCTTGTTGAAAGTGAGGGAGGTGCCGTTGGAGTAGATGGCTCCCCCAGCCCCACCTGGATGCATGGAGGGGAGGGTGGAGAGGGTGGAGAGGGTGGAGAGGGCGGGATGGAACGAGGCCGATGGTTGAATGGTAGGACGAAAGGGCCCACGAGGAAAAGAGGGTGTGAGGGTGCAAGGCCCAGAAAGGAAGAGAGAGAGGGAAACAAAAGCAGCAAGACATGTGTATGCTGCGGTAACAACAAAATACCATCGTGGACCGAGGAGAGGGAAGGGATGGAGGTGACACGAATGGAGGGAGGGAAGGTGTGGGTTTTTTCACAGTGCACACTGAAACATTCACACGCATGCACACTCACACACACTCACCAGCGCTGTTCCCATCAAACAAGCATGACTTGAACACAACTTTGCCAGTCCCCTCCACCCTAATCACCCCTCCTTGCCCCTTGGGCGCGCTGTTGTTCCTGAAGTAGCTGCCCGTAATTGTCAGCGCGGGCCCCTGGCCTTGGGGGTACCCCGAGTTGATGCTCAAGGCGCCACCCCCCCCAGTGGGCGTCGTGTTGTTGTAGAAGATGCAGAGGGAGAAGTAGCGCAGGGAAACACTTTTTGTCACCGAGTAAGACTCACTGGTGAGTTGGGGGGGGTGCGGGGCTATGGAGAGTGCGTTAGGGAGTAGGGCGGCCATCGATGAAGGTTTGCTCTCAAGCTGCCGTGTAAGGTGCAGTGCAGCATGAGAGGAGATATTTAGCATGCTCCCCTGCGCCATACACACTCTCACGTGCACCATGCACTCCATCACCTGTCACGCGCACTCTCACCTGCACTATATGCACTCTCACCTGCACTATATGCACTCTCACCCGCACTATATGCACTCTCACCCGCGCTATATGCGCTCTCACCTGCGCCATACACACTCTCACCTGAGCACCCCGCTTGCTCCCTCCTTTCCCCCCCATCACCCTCACGTAAGAACTCTGCTCACTCTCTCATATTTCCCCAGCACTCCACTTCCGTACCTGAGCACCCCTCCGCCATTGCTAGGACCCTTGTTGTTGACGAATCCGCATTGAGTCGCGTTGATCCTCGTCCGCACGTTCACAAAGACGCCTCCTGCCGCATCCTGAAAGGTGAGGTTGCGCAGGTTCAGTATTCCCCCAGTGGGACCGGACGACGGGGAGGTGAATATGGGGAAGGCGTTATTTCCGCTGATGACACACCTGGTGTGGAGAGGGGGGAGGAAAAAGGTGTGCGAATGAATAATGACGGAATGAAGCGGGTTGGGGAGAGGAGGAGAGAGGAGATGGATGAAATCGCTGACCATGGGGATGGTCGTTGCAACTACAATGGTAGTGGTCACCGCATTGCTAAAGACGATCCCAGATGGCAGTGCAGAGTGGTCGATAAGGGTGCAGAGTGGTTGATAAGGGTGTAGAGTGGTCGAGGCGAGCATGGACAGCAATGCAAACAAAGGAGCGTCGAAAATGTGGTTCTGAGACGCCTCAAATGTCGTTGCAAGCGTGGATTAGCCTCAAACGGTTGCGAGCTTGCAATGAGTCACCCACCCGGTAACCCTGTTACCAACCTGTTGACGGCACATGCGCCCGTGATGGTCAGAACGGCCGCTCCTTCAAGTGCGGGGAGGGGGCTGCGCGGAGGAAAAGGGGAGGAAAAAGGGGGGGGGGGGAGGGAGGGAGAGAAGGGGCGGTGGGATTCGAATTTATGGGCTAGTAATGCAGAATAGGGCATGCCTAATGAGACGAGGAGTTGTGGATGCGGTCGGTACCGGGTTCTATGACGGGCGGCATGACGCGCACGGCGTGAGGTAGCATGGGAAACGTACTCGCCGCGAGACGAGACATGTGCGGACGGTGGAGAAGGGGAACTCACGCTGTGAGTTGCACGTTGGATTTGAGAACGAGCTCCGTGGTACCTCCTCCCTGTATTCACACGACGTGGACACAACGCGAACATCATGGTGGACGAAAACGTTAATTAGGAATAGGCAGTGTCGGCGCCGTTCACAACACAATCCTTCCTCTGGACCGTCCAACAGCCGGTCAGTACCAACGAAAGGACCAACAAAAGATGATCGATGTGGTGATTGAATCACCCGTACCTGGTTCGCCGTTTTTATAGCATCTTCCAGTTCAGACGCCGCGATCATCGCGGGACCGCAGATTATAGAAATAACTAGCGATGCGACGAGGAAGGAAGCGATGTGCTGCCGTGCTGTGATTGGTTCCGCGTGACGAGCCATTCTGAGACTGAGACGACGAGTAGTTTAGACGGAAGTTTCAGCAGGCCAGAAACTATCGTGAGCGGAAATGCTCGACTCATCTCTGCGAAGTAAAATCCTTGCGTTGAAATACCGGGAGTGCGTGTGAACCAAGAAACGAGATGTTCTAGAGATGATCTTGCCGTGGTAGTACAGTCCAAGAAACTCGCGATGCGCAGTTCTTTCCTTCCTCGAACGACGCGGTGCTCATTCTTTACAAGCGACATTTGCGGCGAACGGGTCCAGTCCACCGCATCGCAGCGCAGGGCGTGGTGTCATGCCTGCCTGGCGCCGCAGCGCGAATGACGGCCATGGGAAATGGAGGGGTGGGGGGAATACGTTGGGCAAATGCTCGACCGTGCGCTGGAAATACACGCGTTGGACATTTGGACATTGCCACTAATCAACCGCATCACACGACATTTGGATATGGGAATTGATCAGACTGGGGCCTCGGGTTAGCAGAAAGAGTGCCGCCTCGTGATTCGCGAACCTACGAAATAGGGTCGAAGCAATTCACAAGCCTAGGCAGCTAGGCCGAGCTCGCCAGGTCACCACCTGCTGGCTTGGGTTTGACGGATTTCGCTAGCACCCTGGTTGACGGGAGGAGCGATCGTCAGCCCAATCACAATGGGCAGTACAGATACTTCAGCGAAATAACCCAAAATTTTAACATTTTACCCCAAAAATATTATCGCAGTGTGAAAAAAATATAAAACCCAATCGGAAGGCATAAAATTAAGGAGACATCAACCCTAAACACATGCGACAAGGTGTTTAGGGTTGATGCCTCCCTGACCGAATGCATGCCCGTTCGGGGTTTATAATTTTTGCCAGCTTGTCCGTTCAGAAATCCGTCACCTTGTGTGGTCAGGTCTGACAGAGCGCGTTAGTGAGGCCCGAAATTGGTTAGAAACAGGTCCGGACCAGGTTCGACACATTGCGATACACGAGGCCCCAGTTTGGCACTCTTCCTAGAGCTTCGGGGCCCCAATCTGATCATTTCCCTTTGGATATTGCAGTGAATGACGTGGCAACCTGAAACTCCCCTGCACAGTGGAGCAAACGCGCGGTAATCACGGTTGCCCTGGATATGGGGGGAGAACATTCGAGTTAGAACGAGGCCCAATAACGCGTAGTGTGACACTTAAAGTCAGATTGAAATACTTCCAAATCGTGTGGTCCATATCATACCATGTCAACTCTCAAAGCCAGCAAGGTATGCAGTAATAATTCCCGATAAGGCACAATATTAAGGAACCCAGACAACACATAAACCGGTACCTCAGGCAAAGTAAACCAGTTCCAGACTCCAAACCCCCATGTTTGACAACACCATTAAGAACCGCATCCAACCACCGCCAGCCAACCAGAATAAACACCACCACCAGACACACATATGGGTCGGTGGTGGTGGTACGGTACATACCATAAGGCAATGCCAAACCTCACAAGCATGCATACAAAAAATGTCAAGCATCAGGACAGCGAGAGAGCCACAGTGGCAGCATGAGCGCGCATCACAGCAACTGCTTGCTCCAGCACCGCTCTATCCCTGGCCTTCTGTGCCCACTCCCCACCCAACTCCTCCGCCTTAGTCCCCGCAAGCGCCCCCTCCAATGCCTCTGCCGCTGCCTGCAGCTGCCCAGCCTGCATCAGAGCTTCGGCCCGAGCCACTGCTGCCTCCACCCCACCTCCCGGCAGCTCTGTGCCGGTTTCAGGCAGCTGGGGAGGGGTGATAAATAAGGGGTGTGGGTGGGTGGGGAGGGAGAAGAGGAGAGAAGCTTATGAGAGGGGATAATGAGGGGCAGGAAGTTTGCAAGAAAGAGGAGAATGAAGAGGCCAGAGAGCAGGAGAAACAAGACAGAGAAGGGAGCACAGACGTGGATGCAGCATGGTTGGAATGGGGTACAAGTTGACAGTTGCTTGGTAGATCTCCAACCAGCTCAACCTCTCCATTTTTCACCCTCCCCCCTCTTCCCCTCCTCACCTTAATCATTGCAGCCAGAAACGCCAAGGCATGAGCCACCACCCCGGCGCCCTGAGGTGGCATGAGCCCCAGCTGACTCAGCGACAGCCGCAGAGCAGTCAGCTGCTGCTGCAGCTGAGCTGGCGTGGGCACGCCCTGGCCGGCAGCAGGGGACGGCAGCGAGGCCAACACAGCATCCACGAGAGAATCTGCTGCTGGTGCCTCTGCTGCCTCTTCACCTGTGCTGCTTTTGGTGCTGCTGGTGCTATCAGTGGTTGTTGTGGGTGCGTTAGTGGTTTGTTGGGAGGGACGCGAGAGGGGGAGGGAGGCTGGTTGGAGGGATGTGAGCGGCAGCGCGAGCGGAGTGCCGTTCAAAGCAGCGTCTTCCAGAGCAAAGCAGAGCTGATCAGGTAGATGGGGGGGGCAGGGGATAAGTCGGGAAGAGGGGGGGAGGCAAGGAGGAGAAAGGTATGGGGAGGTATTGAAGCGGGGAGGTGAAACGGAAGTGGGGTGACAAGAAGAGGCAATGAGATGCAATGCAAGCACACAGCGCGGATGGCAGTGAAGGTTACTGGGGCAGTTGGGTCAAATGGGGCAGCTGGGGTCGGTTGAAAAAAGCACTCTTGCAACTAAGAGAATTGAGCGCAGGAGGATAAGTGGAGGGAGGGATGGAGAGGGAGGCAGCGGGCGAGTTGGGGGGGGAAGGGGAGCGAGTGAGTGACGTCGATTGAAAATGCTAGTAGAGGCGGACAAGCAATGGAAGAGTCGAGGCGGACAGGCAACAGAGAAGAAAGAGCTGCAAAAGAGAACCGAGAAGATGGGGGCAACAAGTAGCAAGCACGTGGGGTGGCGATACCATGGCAAGGGAGTGGCCAGCGTGTCGCTTCCTCTCCTCCTCTGACCGTGTGCGGAAGGCCTCGTGCAGCGCTGCCAGCTGAGGGGGCGATGGCAGGGAACAGAGATAGCAGGCATTGCTGGCATGGTTGAGGTGGGTTGGTGCCGGTGCATGTGTGCGCGCATGCGTGCGTGCCTATGTAAGTGCGCATGCATGGGAACGCGCGCGCGTGCGCAGATGTGTATGTGTGTGTTTGTGTGTGTGTCCAGGCATGCGCACGCATTCGTGTGTGCGTGTGCATGCGCATTACGCATGCACACGGCTACAACCCCACTCAAGCGCACAAGCCAAAAGAACTGCAAATCTGCCACCGCACACCCTTCCCTTCCCACCTCCATCCCCCATCCTTTGCTCCTCTTGACTCGACCTCCCCCCCCTCCCCCCCAAGCTGCGCCCTCACCTGCAGCTTAAGTCGCTCCATTTCACGTGTATATGCTGTGCCTCTGCAGCAGCCATGCCCGCCATCACCCATTTTTTAGGCACCTCACAAACAGAACCCCCCATCCAGCTGCACCCTCACCTGCAGGTTCAGTCGTTCCACCTCCTGTGCATGCTGTGCCTCTGCAGCAGCCATGCCTGCCCTCCCCTCAGCTGCACCCTCACCCCAGGTGACTCTTGAGTCGTCTCAAAAGCCCCTCCAGCTGCGCCCTTACCTGCAGGTTGAGGCGTTCCACCTCCTGTGTGTGCTGTGCATCTGCAGCAGCCATGCCCGCCACTGCTCTCGCCTCCGCCACCACCCCTGCCTCCGCTGCCATCGCTGCTCCCTCCTCCTCCTGATGCGGCAACAGCAGCGGACGGGATGGGATGGTGTGGGGTGGGGTTGGGTCGGATGGGATGGGATGAGAAGGTACTGCTAGGCATGGCCCGGCATTGCAAATATCCATGTGTCAGAAACTCCTGTCAATGAACGCATACCTCCGCTTGTCAATGAGTTCATCTGCATCATTTTTTTCCATCATTTTTTTCCATCATTTTTTTCCATCATTCTTTTCCATCATCTTTCTCCATCATTTTTCTCCGTTTTTCTCCATCCTTTTTCTCCATCATTTTTTTTTCCATTTTTCTCCATAAATTTTCTCCATTTTTCTCAATATTTTTTTTTTTCCCATTTTTCTCTCTGCTCGTGCTTCCATCCAAACCACAATACCCGTCCGCTGCAACCCCCAACTCACCCCCATCTCCAAATCTGCACACTCATTCACCACCATACCTCCTCTTCTCAATCCTCCCATCAATCCTTCCCTCTGTCTCCCTCGCCCTTCACTCACTTGCAGAACCCAGGCAAAACCTGCACTTTCACAGCCCCAAAAACCCAGTCAACTCATCCCAGTCCCTCCCCAAGCCCTTCTCTTGCCAAATCCCTCTGCGCCGGGTTGCATCACCTCGCATTCCCCAACACCACACCCAGCATCAATCACCCCTACAGCTTGGTTTCAGCTCACACACATCGCAACTCACGGCTCCTTCCCCAATCCAGCCCCTCCCTCACCTGCTTCCTACCTGTCCCCTGCCCGCCTTCACGCACACCGACCCCAAACCTACACCACACCATCCTCAGACTTAGTCCTTCATAGCCCTCCCATCAGACCACCTGCCCCACCACCTGCCCCACCACCTGACCCCCTCACTGCACAAACCTTCTTTCACGCCTGACGGTCAAGCCCACCCCACAGCGTCCTCACACGCACCTTGTCGTGCAGGGCCCTCTCGTGGCGAGCAGTCAAGTCCTGCTTGAAGCGCTCTGCGTGCGCCTGCAGCTGCTCCCTCTCCCTCTCCCGCGCTGCTCTTACAGCCTCCAGGCTCGCCTCTGCGCCCTGTATGCGCTGCTGCAGCTCCAGCACTGCTCGCTCGTGCTCCCCCTAAGGAGGGAAAAGCGGGCGGATGGGTGAGGGAGGGAGGGAGGGAGGGAGGGAGGGAAGGAGGGAGGGAGGGAGGGAGGGAGGGAGGGAGGGAGGGAGGGAGGGAGGGAGGGAGGGAGGGAGGGAGGGAGGGAGGGAGGGAGGGAGGGAGGGAGGGAGGGAGGGAGTGCAGGGAGGGATTGAGGGAGGGAGGGAGTGGAAGGGGGTGGAACGGCGTGAGGAGGGAGGGAGGGAGTGGAGAGATCATGGGGGAGGGGAA